ATGGCTCCATGCCACTCACTGGACATACTTCGAGGGGGGGAAATAGTAAGAGAGCTGCCATATATGCTGCAACGTTCAGCACCGCTCCCCTTCCATCTGCCAAGCAACTTCTTCTGACACACATCGTCGTCATAGCTACGACTTACACCTTCATCACTCCAGAGCTCATGTAAGAAAATCCCACTCAGGAACGTGCATTACCATCCGGATGTTTGACAAAGAGTTTGAATCCCTTTGCTAAACATAAGGCGGTGGAGGAGACGGAAGGGGGGCGAGAACAGCCAGAGACATCAAGAAGGAAAACACCCAACACAGCACTAAACGACCCAGTATGAACCATAAAAGTGCTGCCACACTAGGCACAATTTATTGACTATGAGACCTTCAATGCTTGGGTGCTTGGTCTTAGAAGACTCGACACCACTTGCCCAACAAGAAAGGAAAGGTTGGTGTTTGGGTCATCACACAAATGTAAACTTGCCGTTACCCTCGCCAATACCCTCAAATGTGAGCTTGCATGTACATTTGCTTGCAAGTAAATGATGCATGTGAAGGCCAAGTTATATTGCAGAAATCCGGGTTTTCACAAGAACCTCAAATCATACGGCGTGATAGACTCCCAAGAACCCCAGCAGTTTAGTAGAAAATCTCAGACTACAAGTTCCTGTCACTACCAGGTGAATCAGACAGAACTATCAGCGCCGCCAACATTCATATTCGCTCTTAATCCATCCTCTCCTCTCCAGTAGTTCCATGATACCTACTCTCTACACCCATCACTCAAATTGCAGGCCTCAGACCCCAAGAGCGATAAACGATGCTTGACATGTTTCACATACCCAGCCCTGTAACGCCCTCAGGGCCGCTTGTTGGCCTCTTCACTTTGCACTTATACCCAATGCCTCAGATCCATTACGCCCAGCACACCTGCTCAACTCAGTCTGTAAGTATATCGTGGCCTAGCACAAAAGCAATCCGATTCATCAGACTCATGACTCAACGCAGGCATACATCATCACCATGTACAAAAGGTCCCTCCTTCGTACACAAACATGGGGAGACGCACCATAGATGATGGCGGTAGCGAGAGGAGACGAAGCGTGGGAAGAAGATGAGAAACAGCTGAATAATAACAAGTCCCCCTCCAGATCCCACACAACTAGCACCAGTCGAGAGGAGACGAAGCGTGGGAAGAAGATGAAGAAGAGAGTGCAACCCAATGTAACAGCAGAATATTCCTGCCTAACTCAGTCTGTAAGTATATCTTGGCCTAGCACAAAAGCAATCCGATTCATCAGACTCATGACTCAACGAGGCATACATCATCACCATGTACAAAAGGTCCCTCCTGCGTACACAAACAAGGGGAGACGCACCATAGATGATAGCGGCAGCGAGAGGAGACGAAGCGTGGGAAGAAGATGAGAAACAGCTGAATAATAACAAGTCCCTCTCCAGATCCCACACAACTAGCACCAGTCGAGAGGAGACGAAGCGTGGGAAGAAGATGAAGAAGAAGAGAGTGCAACCCAATGTAACAGCAGAATATTAACAAGTCCCTCTCCAGGTCCCACACCTGTCACCGGTCACCATGTCAAGTCTGAACCTGGGGGCAAAGCCTCCCCGAATAGTAGCTAAGTCTCTCTCTCTCTCTCTCTCTCTCTCTCTCTCTCTCTCTCTCTCTCTCTCTCTCTCTCTCTCT